CTCCATCCTTCCACTAACTCTGCAGACCACGAGTCTATGAACTCTCTCCATCCTTCCACTCGCTCTGCAGACCACGAGTCTATGAATTCTCTCCATCCTTCCACTAACTCTGCAGACCACGAGTCTATGAACTCTCTCCATCCTTCCACTAACTCTGTAGACCACGAGTCTATGAACCCTCCCCATCCTTCCACTAACTCTGTAGACCACGAGTCTATGAACCCTCCCCATCCTTCCACTAACTCTGTAGACCACGAGTCTATGAACCCTCCCCATCCTTCCACTAACTCTGTAGACCACGAGTCTATGAACCCTCCCCATCCTTCCACTAACTCTGTAGACCACGAGTCTATGAACCCTCCCCATCCTTCCACTAACTCTGTAGACCACGAGTCTATGAACCCTCTCCATCCTTCCACTCGCTCTGCAGACCACGAGTCTATGAACCCTCTCCATCCTTCCACTAGCTCTGTAGACCACGAGTCTATGAACCCTCCCCATCCTTCCACTAACTCTGTAGACCACAAGTCTATGAACCCTCCCCATCCTTCCACTAACTCTGTAGACCACGAGTCTATGAACCCTCCCCATCCTTCCACTAACTCTGTAGACCACGAGTCTATGAACTCTCTCCATCCTTCCACTAACTCTGCAGACCACGAGTCTATGAACTCTCTCCATCCTTCCACTCGCTCTGCAGACCACGAGTCTATGAATTCTCTCCATCCTTCCACTAACTCTGCAGACCACGAGTCTATGAACTCTCTCCATCCTTCCACTAACTCTGTAGACCACGAGTCTATGAACCCTCCCCATCCTTCCACTAACTCTGTAGACCACGAGTCTATGAACCCTCCCCATCCTTCCACTAACTCTGTAGACCACGAGTCTATGAACCCTCCCCATCCTTCCACTAACTCTGTAGACCACGAGTCTATGAACCCTCCCCATCCTTCCACTAACTCTGTAGACCACGAGTCTATGAACCCTCCCCATCCTTCCACTAACTCTGTAGACCACGAGTCTATGAACCCTCCCCATCCTTCCACTCGCTCTGCAGACCACGAGTCTATGAACTCTCTCCATCCTTCCACTAGCTCTGTAGACCACGAGTCTATGAACCCTCCCCATCCTTCCACTAACTCTGTAGACCACAAGTCTATGAACCCTCCCCATCCTTCCACTAACTCTGTAGACCACGAGTCTATGAACCCTCCCCATCCTTCCACTCGCTCTGCAGACCATGCCTCTGTGAACCTTTCTTCTTACCACTGAATACTTTCCAACTGTATCACAGTCAGCGAACACCCTGCCTGCAGAAGCCATGTGAGCTCCTCAGAAGCACACCCCGCCTCCTAAGCATCTTTTACCAGATTGCTTTGAATTAAAAACTTTCCAATGTTTAGTGGGAGGCACTGATATCATCTGCCCATCCCACCCTCTGCCTTACCCCCCCCCCAACTCATCTCTGCAGTCTATTTGTCATGTGACCCTGGTTCTTCCTATGAAGAAAGGTCTCTGCAGAACTCCCCTGGTCATCTCCGGCTCTGTTTCAGATCTCAGCCTAATGTCACTTTCTCGTGATGGCTTTCTTTTCCCTCAAATCCAGGTCACATCCCTCTGTTTTCTCCTGGGTAGCTCCAGCTGTTGGTGACTTCTGCTTGATTCTCAAAATTCATCCTCCCCCTCTTGGGTCTCAGTAGCTTTCTCTTGTGTACCCAGTCACTCCAATAAAGCTGGTTTGTCTTTAGCTCCAAGATGTAGCCATGTGCCTGAATCCCAGCCAACGGGAAAATGAATGAGCACAACAGAACACATCGGGAGTTTCCCATCAAGGGATGGGAATTACAGTCTTCATACCCCATGGGTTGGAAATGTGATCCTAAAGGCCAGAGATGGAAATTTAGGTTTGTTATGGGCATTGGAGAATGGGATTGGGAGCAGCTCCTCTGTAGGAGAAAACTATTCAAACCCATTTAACTAATAGATTTTATAGCTATTTGTTACAGTAGAGAAGGTCGCTGATGGGTTTTAAGAGGACTAGAGTCTCATAGTAGCATAGCCAATGTCAAAGGTGCCCTGTTGGTGGTATGCAACCTCTAGGGGCCACAGTCCTGAAGGACAAAGGTTTTTTTTTTTTAACTTCTTTTTGCTTGCAAAATAGAATGGTCACTACCAAGAGAACACAACCAGCCTACAAAGTCTGAAGAAATGAAACACAAATGAGGTATGCAAAGGGGCGTGACCAGAGAGGAAGAGGAAAACGCAAGACTTGTTAGTCCCCAACTGTGGAGGAGGAGGAGGAGCATCCACTGTTGCCAAGGTAGAGAAAGGGACACTGCTTTTGCAAGAATAAAAATCCTCATCTTGTATGTATGAGCATGCATGTTTATAAGTATTTAAATAAGCAAGACAGAATGAGGGATAAAGAGCCAAGGCTGGCTAGAAGCTGGTCTATGTAGGTTCTATGCAGATTCTGTCATTTACCAGTGTGTGACGTTGGTCAAGTTGCTTCGGTTTTGTATGCAATGAACTCGTTTGTAAAGTGGGCAAATCCTCATGCTGACTGAAGATGATTGCTACAGCGATCATATGAATAAATCAAATTGAAAGCACATTGCTCACACGGCACATGGTAAGTCCTGAGTGTGAGAAGTTTTTGTTTTTTAATTATTGCGACTCGTTACAATGTATTTAAGGAAAAAGCTTGAAGAACCAAGTGGGCACAACATATTTTGGGTGACTAAATATTCAGAAGGCAGCAATAGTCAGGAAGTCTTGAAATGATCACCCATTGGTGACACGCACGAAAGCTGCACTCTTCTGTCTGAGGAATGTAGACAAAAATCCACAGCCACTCGGGCACCATCTTGAAAGCTACAATGTAGCCAGGGACTAGGCTGCTCCTTCAGCCAGTAGAGAAAGCAGAGCCGTATCTGGGTCCCATCCACCGTCTACCATTCTTCCTGGTGTACCTCACCTCTGGTCAGCAGCACTATGCCTCCCTAGCTGGGAAGAATGGCACGGCCGAGTCGGGGTGACTATGTGTGAACCCCTCCACCTGTTGTACTAGCGTGTTAGCCTGGTCCCTTGCTCTGGCTTTTTGCCAGGCAATTTTAAACATCTCGTTTTCCCAAGTCTTTCTGGGGAACGGTCTCTGGGTCAGCCTAACTGGCTATGTGTTTGGAGGCTAATTGCTCACACCCCACAGACTGGTTACCCCACAGGAGGTAAGAAAGTCTGCGTGACAGGGTTTGCAGTGGCGGATCACTTTTGCCTCACGCATTTTCTGGTTTTTAATAGATATTTTATATTATTAAATTATTAAGAATATTATTATGTTTTATATAAATATGTATTTATATATTTATATATTATCTAAAAATTAAGAAATGTAAATATGACCCAGGAGACACCGTAAAAACTGGTAAAAAGCACTGGGGCTGCCAGGAAAAACAAAAACCAAACCTCTGCTCTTACAAGGCCGATTCAACAGTACTTTCTCCGGTGGAGGCCCTCAAGACTCGTCCTGCTGAAACGGAAATGGCAGCTTTCATTTCAGGATGGCTTGGTTTCACTCTTCAGTCTGGGCCTGCTTTTGTGGATCGGGAACTCGCCCCTTCTCCTTTCTACTCCCTGCTTCTCTGCTCACACAGCAGAGGACCCACTGCAGTCAGATCTGTGGCCAGGTTGCTTACCTGTTTGCTTTCTCTCTCTTCCTCCCTCCCTTCCCGCTTCTTTTCTTGTCTTCCTAGTCGCTTCTTTAACGGCTGGACAGATCAGGAGACTGATAAGTCTCACGTGACAGTCCACCTAGGTCCTTCGTGGCATCCACTTCCACATAGAGCCGAGGGGCCCCAGGTGTCTCCAGGCCACTTCAGAGCAGATCTGCCGTACCGAGTCCCGTAAACACGTTATTATCATCTTATAATTTCCCTCTGAAACCCTAGCAGGCGCCATCTTTGTTTAACTCCTGTGTCTCAACATTTCAAGTGGATTTACCATGAGGCTGGTGTGCTGACCATAGGAGCTGTCCCTGGACAATGGGGCCGGAGCGGGCATCCAGCAACGGTGTATTTATAGTTTTTCCTAAAGAGGACTCCACATTTGAAGCTCCAGGGCCTACGAAAATGTCTTCAGTCACATCTCAGGACTACAGAGCCTGGATTTTCTTCCTCTTGTTAGTAATTTTGAATCCAGTTATATTAACTTTTTAGCCTTATTTTGTTCTTTAACATCAGATTAACATTGCTTATATCTATAGGATTAGATTACCATATACATATACATTGCTTCACATATAAGAAATCAATGTTCCTAAATGTGAGCTGCCATCAGTACTGGCTTTGTGTGAACAGGCTCTGAAATGTTCTAAACCCCATCTCAGGCAGGCATATACACCTACCAAATGAAACCTGTATACAACCAGTTCTACTAGCTTCCCATGTTTAACCAATGATACAACTTAATTCTGAGCGTGACACCTGCGGTTAGGTCACCTCTTCAGCAAGGTGCCACGTGTTCAGCTGTTGGCTAAGGGTGCCTTAGCTGTGCCTGGGGTTCCAGGAGCTCTTGGAGCCTCGCCTGCCTTCCTTACCAACCCTTCTGGTCAGCAGAGGACAGTCCACCTAGGCTGTGCCTAGACCCAGAGATCATGCATCTCATCGGTGGCGATAGTTTTGAGTAGGGCACCTACTAAATGCTTGCTAACTGCAGGTGGTCATGTACTTTGGGCCTCAAGTCCCCTCCAACACCCCGCGCCCATCCAATGATTGGGGAGCAGAATGCGGCTCAGCAGGAGCTGTTGGGTGTGGTGGGATGGGGATGGAGAAGGATGGGACATTGCCCACTTTCCTCTTTCTCCCTTCGGGGACGTGCCATCTTAGAGGGGCTGGATCCTGGGTCCCTGGGGCGGCCCCAGAGGGCGGGAGGCCGGGGAGGAGGCGCCCGACGCATCCGCCGCCGCAGGAGGCGGAGCGCTGCACCTGGCGCCCGGTCCTCCAGCTCAGCCCTGAAACGGGTCCAGCCGGTCGCGAGCGAAGGCAGCGGCGGCGGCGAGGTCGGGCCCAGGACTCGAGCGGGAGGAGGAGCGGACAGAAGGTCGCGCAGCGGCTGCGCCAGGCCACCGTCGCTCGCCCCACCCGGCTCGCATCCAGCCGCCGCGCCTGCCCGCCCGTCCGCCCGCCACCGCTGCAGCCCCGGGACAGGAGCAAGCCGCCCGACCGACATGCTGAGCTCTGGCCCGCCCGCCGCCGCCCCGGCGCCCCGAGCCGCCGCCCCGCACCCCGGGCACAGGGCTCCCCGCGCCCCGCGCAGCTGAGCGCTACCAGGTGAGTGGGCCGGCGCCACGCGGGCTCCCGAGCCTCCGCCGTGCACCTGCTGCGGGGTGGGCGCCGCCCGGCTTCCGAGCCTCCGCCCGCTGCCCGGGCGCCGCCTGTCATCCTCGGGGTGCAGGGCAGCGGCGCGGCGTCCCCCGCGCTGGCAGCACTTCCGCAAACGTAATTGGAGTCGGGAAAACAAAGGCGCTGCCCGGGAGCCCTTGCCCGCCGCCCCAGCTGCAGCAGAAGGTGGGGGCGAGGGTGGGCCTCTCGGGTCCCCAGGCTCGTCTCAGCCCGGCCCCACTGTCGCCCTGGAGGTAAACATCCCCGGGAGAGGGGGGAGGCGACAGTGTCCCTACGGCCGGCCGGTGACAGGGACCTGGCCCCTAGGTGGCAGGAGGAAACTGACATTGTCTGCCTCCCACGGAAACAAACACGGGGGGGCTCACATCTCTTCCCCGGGCTTCTACCTTCCTAGGAGAAATGCCTGCGTCGTGCGTGCTGACTAGCTTCAGCTCGGGCATAAGTCCCTTCCTAAACGGAGGTTACCAGGTACATTTCCATCTTAGGAGGGTGAAGAATTCAGATGTGGCCCCTCCCCCTCTATACACCCCATCTACGTGGTCTTGCCTTGCCGGTGGGTTATTACCCTTGAGCCTGACTCGCTCTGCGTTTTGCTTTTCCCACATGCCTGAGAAACGACAAACCTTTCCTGTCATCCTAAAGCGTTTAATAATACTTATACATCCACCAGAACATACCTGCCGATCCGTCGTAGAAATAACCTTGTCTGGAGTTGAAGTTCAGCTCCCAACTGGTGTCTACATAGTTTTTTGTTCTTGGGTTGTTACATCATTCCGGGCCGCCTGTTTCCCCCATGTAGAAAGAAGATGGATGGATAGTGTAGCCGCCACATTTCCTTTTGCTTTTCTGAAAGTTCACGATGTTATAGTGTGATATTAGAGGTAGTTGAAAGCAGGTAGCCTCCAGTTTAATGTGTGAAAGGAGGCGAACGTTTGGCAGGTCCGTGTACTGCGCAGAACATTGCTTTTCTCAGAGCCGGCGCTAGCCAGCTAAAGGTGTATGCATTATTGATGGTCTTGTGAAGAAAGCGGGGAGGATAGAGTCCTCTGCATTGGGAGGCTTGGCTCTGACCCTCAGAACTGCTTGTCATTAGTATCTGTGGAAGATTTCTCGGTTAGTGATGAGGAAGGGCGAATGGCCCTTTTCACAGGTTACTTGGGAAAAAGTTGAAGCATTGTTAATGAGCTCAGTGCAAGACACACTTGGGGGAGTAAAGACAGTCTTATTTCTATAATGAATTAAAATTATTAAGTATTTTGTAGTTACTTATTTCCCAGGCCCTCTCTCTATAAAGGTAAATATAAAACAAGAAGGCTGCTTAAAAAGGAGACTACACAGGACCAAATAGCACATGTTTGTTGGTGTGGATATTGGATCACCAATTCTGTCCACCGTACATACAAACACACACACACACACACACATGTGCACACACACACACACACACACACACATATATATATCTTCTGCAGTACCAATAGTTATTCTTTTTAAAGCTACCACCCTGAAGAGTTAATTTCCAAATCTCTGTACTGGTGTCTGATCCCTAATTTTTATGCACCATGAAAGGGAAGCTCAGAGAAGTTATGCAACTTAGACCAACCACATACTCAATAAGAGGTGGAGTTAGATTTGGCCCGTGCTTCTGGCCTCAAATCATAGGAAATTTCCATATGGTGTCCCTCCCTGCTCAGGATCTATTAAGTGTCACCATCTACCTAGATGCTTTCCTTTGCTTCTTGCCTTTCAAAGTAAATTTTCTTTCAACACACATGTATTAAACATGGTACCACTTACCCATACAGAACAATCTATGTCTTGATAATGCATATAAATTTGTGAATCTATAGCGTTTTCCCCAGGTTTTCTTACCGCTTTTGAATTTACAGGGAGTGGTAAACCTTATTGCCAAAGATAAATTGAGTATTAGATCAATGGGTTCTTAAAGTTTAGTTTTGATCTTCACTGAGTCTTTAGGGTTTGTCCAGCAGGGCAATCGAGAGATGCGATGCTTGCGTCTGCTAGCTGCACTGGTGTGTTGGCGTAAGAAAACTCAAAGCATATCAAGTGAAAAAGGCAGATTGCAGACCAGATTTATATTCATTTACTGAAACATCAGTGTTGGCATATATGGGATTGCTTGGCCTCAAATTGTTAAGTGTAGCTACCTTACAGCGGCGGGGGAAGAGGTAAAGTGGTACTTTTTCTTTTGACCTTAGAAAGTGAAATATGGGTTAACAATTGGAAAAAAAAAACACACACATTCTTTTGTTATATAAACTAAAAAGGGGAAAGAAGAAGGGAAATACTTCACGTAAGAGAAGACTGGATGCATCTTACCGCAGACTAGATGCATCGAACCATCACATACAGTGGTTTTAAGAAAGAAAGATGACGTCAGAGGCAGAGATGTTCTGAGGGTGGCCAACTGCCCCTTCCCAACATTGGCTGTGACATAGTCTACAACCTGCTGGCTTTCATGCAAGAAGAATGCTTTGGAGCATCACACTGGCATGTCAGAATTCCTTTCTACTAGGTCTTGCTTGTGACTACAAAGCAGAGAGACAATTTTGTTTTCTCTCTTGGTGGAGTGAATAGGTTGATGGGAAGAGTCAGCTTGCCTGTTGTGTCACCTCAGGAAAATATGGCATCCGAGAGGCCTTCAGGTTCTCCTAGTGACATTTCAGGAACAGCAAGTCATCACCCAGTTTAGCCTGACGCACACTGTGTATTTGGTAACACTAATGCAGCCCCACAATTCTCCCTACTCTTGTATTAACTACTGTGTAGAACTCTTAAAAGCCAAGGCATTTTCCTGCTCAGAATCAGAAATCCAAAGCAAGACACATTCACTCTTCAGATTCAAGAAGACATACCACTCTCTCACGTTTTCCGTGTGAAGAAGACCTCAATGATCTTGGTTCATTAGGATACCATGTTACTATAATGCCGCCTGGCAGAGGAGTTCCTTGTAAAGTTGCTTTGTACAGGAGCTGTTCTGGCTGTTATAGGCAAGGTGTAGCATTCCATTTGAGGTTTTCATTGTGTCTGCCTGATGTCGAGGTGACCAAGCGCAGAGAACCACCCTGGTTAAGGCCAGTTTGGCTAAAACGTTCGTCCTTAGGTGGACCGTTCATGGCATTTCCTCGGGCACAGTACTTTTAGGTTGTGATGTGAATTTGGGGGCTCCACCTGGGACATTCCCTTTGGGTTTGTAACTCCTCCTTGTTTCGTTACCCAGAGCTGGCTGTCTGGGTATTCAGTGTCCTGGCCTACAGTGTGTGAACCCAGCTTTTGTGCGTCTTGCCCGTTTCCTTGACTCCTGACTAGCAGGTTATCCGATATTTAGACTCATTGATGCACTGCCCTTTCTTTGAAGCTGATTGGGCCTCTGTATCTGAAAGATGTGCATTGCTTTGGAAAATGGCATAGTCTCAATTCATTCAACTTTTGGGCACTAGCAGAGTCCTTTGCTGTAGCAAATGATGTTTGATTTGTTGGTGCAAAGGCCAAAAAAAAAAAAAAAAGAAAACAAAAATAAATATTTAAAATGTAGAACCCAAGCCTTGAGTTTGTGTCTGCTATAGATATTACACTCCTAATTACTACTTTGTATCTCTAGTCTCTCTCTCTCTCTCTCTCTCTCTCTCTCTCTCTCTCTCTCTCTTCTAGTTACGACTTTGTACCTCTAAAGTCTCTCTCTCTCTTCTAGTTACGACTTTGTATCTCTAAAGTGTCTCTCTCTCTCTCTCTCTCTCTCTCTCTCTCTCCTAGTTACTACTTTGTATCTCTAAAGCCTCTCTTTTTCTCTCTCTCTCTTCTAGTTACGACTTTGTATTTCTAAAGTCTCTCCCTGTCTCTTCTAGTTACGACTTTGTACCTCTAAAGTCTCTCTCTCTCTCTTCTAGTTACGACTTTGTATTTCTAAAGTCTCTCTCTCTCTTCTAGTTACGACTTTGTATCTCTAAAGTCTCTCCCTGTCTCTTCTAGATACTACTTTGTATCTCTAAAGTCCATGTGTATGTGTCACACACACACACACACACACACATACACACACACACACACCCCTGTCTTCACCCAGTAAGAGCTAAACCTGCATAGCCTGCTGTGTGTCGTCCACATAGCCTTCTGCTTTGGTTCAGTAAAATGTAGGCGTGGCTGAGCTGTAGGTGGTGCTGATCGAGCTAAGACCATGCCCAGCTTTGGCAGTAAGGAAAAGCGCACACTGTTGCTTACAGCTGGTGGCTCTGCCGCATTTTAGGATGGGGTGGGGTAGGATGAAATAATGGAGCAAAGATGGAAGATGCAATCTACCAGAAGAGCCATGTTCAGGAGATGTGAAAGGGAGTGAATTAGGAGGCAGGGATTTTTTTTTTTTTCATTTCCTCTGAGTGTGTTCCAGAAGGGAGCATAATTCAGGGAATATCTGTAATTAGAAAACAAGGGAATCCAACTCTGAATGGTGGAAGAAATGCATAAAAGTATTTTGAGCTGTTCGAGCTGCAGAGCGAGGCAGGAGAATGGGGGGGGAAGCTGGGAACCCCATGAGTCAGCTGTGGCTTTGATGGGGAGACAAACGAGAACTAGAAAGAGGAACTGTTGCTGCCTGGACCAGCCTGATTTGTGGGTGAGCCATGCCAAGGGAAAGTGACTGACGAGTCTGGACTGGTTCCCTCTTGTGTGGGAAGCCTCCACTCTTCGGTTAGGTCCCTTTAACTCTTCATGTGTTCAACTCAGCACCCTAGGTTGGGCCCAGGACAGAGAAGCTTGCTCACACACAGCAAGACACAAATTCCCTACAGGAAACACAGAAATCAGGAGCGAATAACGTGGCATCCCTACTGTCTATACCGCTAAAGAGTTCCCTGCTCTTGGCAAACATGGTTTGATGCCGAGGCTCAAGCTCCTAGGGTTGTTGGACAGTG